TTTCTGGGTTAGGGACAAAGTCACCATTCTCCTGGTCAGCACTCGGATCAGCCATGGGGAAGTCATTAAACTCTGAATCAGCTTGACTCCAATCATCGGCCTTTTTTCCCTCTCCCTGGGCCTTCTCAAGTCTCTTTTCCTCGGCAACTCTTCTCCTCTTCTGTCTCTCTGTGGCAGCCTCCTGTCTCTTGGACTCCGGAATATCTTGACTAGAAATCATGAGAGCCCCTATACTGCCAGTCTTCTCTCTCTGTGCTTTGACAAATGCCAGTTCGATCACAGGAATCTTCAGTTCACGCTTGCAAATACAGGAGATGTGGGCCTCGGATTTACAGTCACGATCGCATCAAACTCAGGACAGAGAACAATTGGGCACTTACTAGTAATTATGTCCAATATTTGATTGGGTTATTATAAAAGCTGTGTAGCAGTAATGTTCTCTCCCAAGAGAGATATCTCTTACCCTTTTCCCCCAACAGCTAGCAGTCTCTCACTAATCTTCATTGACATTGGTGCAGCTGGAGGCAGACTGACAGCCAGAGTGTGCACAATATAAAGACAACTTTGTGGTCATATCATTGTAATGTCTTTGTTTTGTGTAGTTCTTTGGTTCTTTTCACTGAATTTGCAAGATTCACACCGTATCTCAAAGCATCTCAATGTAGGCAACTCCGACTTCAGGAGCTCTCTCCCAGACCCAAGATAGTGACTGAGATGGCTGGATTTTTGGTTCCTCGTCCTGACACAAGCAGCCATCGCAAATATTATCAACATATAAATGCATCAGAATCTGAAACAGAAAAAAATATTGTTAGTTGGGTTGTTAAAGAATGAAGTCAGAAAGCAATGTTCACTATTTAATTGTAATGCACTAATACAGCTGTACGTTAGATTTTCGATAAATTTCACGCTAAAATTTACCTAGCAAGGTTGCAAAATATTGAAACTGAAATTATTTTCTGTTTATATATACTAAAATCTACCAAAAAAGTGATGGGCCATTAGTTTTAGCTGATCTTCCCTCCTATGACACACCCTAATGCACAGGTCAACAGAAGTCAGCCATGCACAGATCAACACAAGTCAGCCATGCACAGATCAACACAAGTCAGCCATGCACAGATCAACACAAGTCATCCATGCACAGATCAACACAAGTCATCCATGCACAGGTCAACAGAAATTAGCCATGCACAGGTCAACACAGGTAAAAACACTTACAGATGATCTTGACGACGTTGGTAGCACTCTTACTGCTGAGGCCACTGAAGTATGGCCTGTGCTTGAGGAAATCCTCCCAAATGATGCAGGCGAGAGAGTTACCAGTGGAGGACAGAGAGCTGGTGGAGGATGGTGGTGAGGTTGTGCGGTGGAGGATGGTGGTAATGGCGTGTGGTGGAGGATGGTGATGATGGTGTGTGGTGGATGATGGTGGTGATGGTGTGTGGTTGAGGATGGTGTTAATGGTGTTTGGTGGAAGATGGTGGTAATGGTGAGTGGTGGATGATGGTGGTGATGGTGTGCGGTGGAGGATGGTGGTAATGGTGAGTGGTGGAGGATGGTGGTAATGGTGTGTGGTGGAGGATGGTGGTGATGGTGTGTGGTGGAAGATGGTGGTAATGGTGTGTGGTGGAGGATGGTGGTAATGGTGTGTGGTGGAGGATGGTGGTAATGGTGTGTGGTGGAGGATGGTGGTGATGGTGTGTGGTGGAGGATGGTGGTGATGGTGTGTGGTGGAGGATGGTGGTGATGGTGTGTGGTGGAGGATGGTGGTAATGGCGTGTGGTGGATGATGGTGATGGTGTGGTGGAGTGATGGTGTGATGGTGGTGGAGGATGATGATGGTGGTTGAGGACGGTGGTAATGGCGTGGTGGGAAGATGGTGGCACGGTGTGTGGTTGAGGATGGCGGTACGTGGTGTTTGCATGGTACGGTGGTGGATGATGGTGGTGATGGTGTGTGGTGGAGGATGGTGATGATGGTATGTGGTGGAGGATGGTGGTAATGGCGTGTGGTGGAAGATGGTGGCAATGGTGTGTGGTTGAGGATGGTGGTAATGGTGTTTGGTGGAAGATGGTGGTAATGGTGTGTGGTGGATGGCTGGTGGCATGGTGTGTGGTTGAGGATGGTGGTAATGGTGTTTGGTGGAAGATGGTGGTAATGGTGTGTGGTGGATGATGGTGGTGATGGTGTGTGGTGGAGGATGGTGATGATGGTGTGTGGTTGAGGACGGTGGTAATGGCGTGTGGTGGAAGATGGTGGCAATGGTGTGTGGTTGAGGATGGCGGTAATGGTGTTTGGTGGAAGATGGTGGTAATGGTGTGTGGTGGATGATGGTGGTGATGGTGTGTGGTGGAGGATGGTGATGATGGTGTGTGGTGGAGGATGGTGGTAATGGCGTGTGGTGGAAGATGGTGGCAATGGTGTGTGGTTGAGGATGGTGGTAATGGTGTTTGGTGGAAGATGGTGGTAATGGTGTGTGGTGGATGATGGTGGTGATGGTGTGTGGTGGAGGATGGTGATGATGGTGTGTGGTGGAGGATGGTGGTGATGGTGTGTGGTGGAGGATGGTGGTAATGGCGTGTGGTGGAAAATGGTGGCAATGGTGTGTTGGTTGAGGATGGTGGTAATGGTGTTTGGTGGAAGATGGTGGTAATGGTGTGTGGTGGATGTTGGTGGTGATGGTGTGTGGTGGAGGATGGTGATGATGGTGTGTGGTGGAGGATGGTGGTAATGGCGTGTGGTGGAAGATGGTGGCAATGGTGTGTTGGTTGAGGATGGTGGTGATGGTATGTGGTGGAGAATGTACAAGTATGGTATAATATTATTTCCAAATATAAACATTATTTATGACCATACAACTTTACCATAATAAGGTTCAGGTAACATTAGTAACACAGGTCCACGTCAGGTAACAACACACCTAACATACAGTAGATGACACAGGTATTTGTTGACATAGGTTACAGGTTACAAAATTTACACAGACACACTTGTTGAACGCATGTTAAATATCATAGTTCACAGATTTCAGATAATACAAATAACATAGGGCACAGGTAACACGTAACACACTTAACATGTCACAAGTAACACAACATAAGTAACAGAGCTCCAGGTAACTCGCAAAACAATCAACACAAATGACACAGGTCCACGTAGCACGCAAAACAACCAACACAAATAACACAGATCCAAGTAGAACGCAAAACAATCAACACAAGTAACACAGGAAACAAAAGTAACAAGATTCCAAGTAAGAAAGGCAGAGACCTCAGTACACCACCGTACACCGCCGACACAAACACCCCAGCGAGTCCTGTAAGGTGACTCAGTTTGTCGGTCACCAAGAAGGGGAGGATCTGGTCTGGTTTGGTGATCTTCCCGGAGGTGAGGGGGTCACACGTGCTGTAGGTGGCGAAGGCAACCAAGCCGGAGAGAAAGAACACCGTCCACAGGCAGTATATCCCAACCAGGAAGAAGATGCTCAGCCTGCAATATATATATATATATATATATATATATATATATATATATATATATATATATATATATATATATATATATATATATATATATATATATATATATATATATATACATTTTTTTTTCGGAACCTCTGAGTAGCCATGAACGATGATGTTCATCGTAATATATATAAAAGTATAGTCTTATATAAAATCTAACCTAACCTGACCTAACCTAAAAGTTTGGCTAACTTTTCGTTGGGTTAGATTAGGTTAGGATAGGTTAAAATAAACTCTGTTGAGTCAGAATGGACTCATTGGCTTAGGTTAAGTATAAATATGGTTTAGTTAGGTTATGTTAGGATTAATTAGGATAAATAAAACCCACCTTTCCAACAAGACACTCATGTTTAAGGGCAAATTACTTATATCATAACCAAACCTTTTAGCTATACGTAGAGAGGAGACGGAGGCGAACCTTTGGTAGACGGCCTGGTTGAGACCAATATCACCAACCATCATGTAGAAGCCAAGGACAAAGGTCGACCAGAAGGTGTGACGGACGAAGGGGCTGCTGTCCAGGCTGTGGGTAGGTTACAGGTTAAATAGAACCTATTTACTGCAGGTTGTAGATCAGCAGGAGCCTAGCTATTGCTAGCTGCAGATCAGATTATATCCTAATTTCTTACAGGTGAATGGCTACAGATTTACTGTTGGACTCTTCGACTATATATATTTTAAGGTATGGCTGCTGATAGACTTTTCGACTATTTAAGACAGGGCTGCTGATGATCTCTGAACTCTTTAAGACAGGCTGCTGATGGGCTCTGGACTCCTTAAGATAGAGATGCTGATGGTCTCTATACTCACTTGAAGAACTCAATCCTGTTGCCCTCGTTAGCGATCCTCCACACGTTACCAAGACCCCCGAGGTCGACACAACAGATGATCACCACCACCAACACACCCAGGAACATGAGGAGGGTTTGCATGACGTCCGTGTACACCACAGCCTTCACGCCTCCCTGATGTACACAAGGTTGTAAACAATGGGTATCCTATGTGTATACCACCGCCTGCCCTTCCTTATGTACACATAGCTTGTACATCTCCCCGTTGTATTAAGCGTGTTGCATCCTGTATGTATAACAATGCCTGTAGACTTCCCAGATGCACACAGATTTATAACATATACGTGATATTCTACAATAACTGTTATATGTAACTTATGTGTGATGTAATTTATCATAAGCTGATTTGCTCTGTTCAGTTGCAAAAAATAGTGATTTTACAATTGAGTTTTAATTTCAATTATCCAAATAAAACTGCTATTCAAAACAATAATACACAAGTGACGCGAGATAAATGTAATAACAATAATACTAATAATAATAATAATAATAATAATAATAATAATAATAATAATAATAATAATAATAATAATAATAATAATAATAATATTAATAATAATAATAATAAACGGTTTTTGAAAAAGATTGCAGCCTGAAGGCTGAAAATATTGGACATAACTGACTTATTACATAAATTGGTGGTTTAACAAAAGCCTTCATTAGAGAGGTGAAGGAACATAAACAGTGAACATACAGATTAATGGTTACACACGTAGATAATGTGAGCTGAGGTGTTGAACAGCAGACACGTAGTGTAGTAACTCCCTCACAGATGGCGTTATGAGGGGCATCACGTGGAGTACTAGTTCCCTCAAAGGTGGTGTTATGAGAGGCTTGACGTGGTGTAGTAATTCTCTCACAGATGGTGTTACGAGGGGCCTGATGATGTAGTAATTCCCTCACAGATGGTGTTACGAGGGGCCTAATGATGTAATAGTTTCCTCACAGATGGTGTATGAGGGGCCTGATGATGTAGTAATTCCCTCACAGATGGTGTTATGAGGGGCCTGATGGGGTGTAGTAATTCCCTCACAGACGGTGTATGAGGGGCCTGATGTGGCGTAGTAATTCCCTCACAGATGGTGTATGAGTGGCCTGATGTGGTGTAGTAATTCCCTCACAGATTGTGTTATGAGGGGCATCACGTGGTGTAGTAATTCCCTCGCAGATGGTGTTATGAGGAACTTCACAT